CATAGAGTATAGATAAGAAAGAGGAAGAGGGAGGAAAGCAAGCTCCGCTCCGGACAGCGTCGCGAAACGGGGTCCACAGAAATTTCCTACTATTTCGTTATCTAGCGATAACCGCAAGGCAAGGCAACAATGATTCGAGATATTAATTGCGCTTTAGTCAGCGATCGTTTAACACGCGCTTCTTACCTGATGGTATAATATTCGAAGAAAGCAACCAGTATTTCCCAAGATCTCGTGACTGCTGCCCACATGGTTTTACGGTCTTAAAACTGTCTGTCTAGTCACGACTAGCGCGACAACTCGTTCACATTCCCGTTGTACAAGTTATTCATTCAAACGACTCGAATCGTACTCGTGAAGCGTGCGCGGGATGTATGCGGGATGTATGCGGGACGTATACGCGCTCTATCTACACGAGCGGCGTTTCTCTCGAGTTTACCAATCTCCTTTTCCCTCGTTCGGATACACAAGCGTTTTGCTCAAACGCGACTCCAACGAATACGGTCCGCGTGAAAAGAACTCGTGCGATAGAAACGACGTAGGTAGTATTCGCGTCCGAAGAATCGAATTCTGCAAAGAAAATGATCGTTTCGCTCTCTCGTCAATTTGTTTGTCGAATCGGAGAGGTATTTGGACGGACGGGTCGGTGAGTAGGTGAATGTATGGTGTTGAACGGAGGGTGTTGTTGGATCGATGTCAGCTACACTCGCCGGTACTACCACCGCCACTTCCACCACCGCTCTGCACCTCTCAGACACCACTACGTTTCCCGTTCTCTCTATTCAGCCAACCTTGCCATCTTTGTCGCAACCAGAATCACAAGCACACGAGAACGAAGCTCCCGATATTTCGAGAGCATTCGGCGACTTCTAAAGAAACAAATGTACAATATCGCCAAGAGAACATGGAACAACGTCTTGCGGTCGGTCGGGATTCGTTCGTTACATCCTCTATACTCGGAAAATGAACGACACATCTAAAATCGAGTCAGGGACGCATTGGGTCGCGCACGTGGCAACGACGTTTGCGAAGGTCGATAGACACGGCGCGCGCACCTCGCTGGACACGCGAACCTTTCCTCCGAATTCTCCGCAAACTATCAATAGCGATACCAATTTCGCGATGAAAATCATTCCTCGACTCGAATCACAGCTTTCCTCCGTCTTTCAGATTTTCCTGCCCTCCCTTCCTCTCCGTAACCTTCCGTTCCCCCTCATTTTCTGGATGTCTTTCCTCGTCGTGCTCGTTGTAACTGTAGCTCTAACTGTCGCAGTTGCAGTTGCAGTCGCGTATCGTAAGTAACCACCGCGAATAACGTCGCGAGAATGTTAACGGAACATCGTTGAACAAGGTACCGCAGCTAATGAAACAACTAGGTCTCGGTATCGACGTTGCGTTAGTCAAAAGTGAAAAGTTCTCGAGCCGAGGGAAACGATAGTGCCTTTCGCGGAGACGATCGATCGGAACGCACGCGCACGCCGCAAAGGAGTTTCTGGCCGTGGAACAGCTCGGTCAATGCCGAAGAACGTCTAAGCAACAGGTTCGTAGCCGAGGTACGCGCGCGCGCTATAACTTTTACGAAAACTAATCAAACGCAACGTTCCGTTTCTATCGGATCGGAACTCGCGTTTCGGCCGAGCGACGCGACCCGAAGGGCCGAAAAAGGGTTCGAAAGGTTACCAGAGAGAAATTCCAATTTCGAATTTATCGAATCTATCCAGTCTGCGCGCAACGCGCGATTCTTTGCCGATTCTTCGCCGATTAAGGCGGACTCGTCGGAATAGGAAGACGCGCGGTAAAATAATGTCGGTGCTGTCCAAGAACGCGTTATTCTACCGATCTACGAACATTATCTATCGCGTCAGTTGGGGTTATTTTGTTGGTCGCTGTATCCGATGCATTCGAGCGTATTTATGTTTGATCGGTTCTCGTCGGAAGGAAGAATCATCGAGACATACTCGAGTGCAAGGGCAAATGTCACTCGATCCGCGAGCCACCTGTTACTCGCGTACCCTGCGTACGCGTCGCAAAGTTCCACACAGTGAAACGCTAACGATCCGGACGGATCGTCGAATACCTTTTATTCTACGCGAAACGATATTCGCGCGACGGACTAGACGAAGGTGGGGAACGAGGAAAACCGGGAAAACCGGAGAAACCGGGAAAAACGCAAAGAGACCTAAAATCCGGTGAGTCGATCGGTGAACGCGTAGCGGCCGGAAACGACGAGCCAAACGACCAACTGGAGAAGAGATACGAAAACGATAATGAGATCAAGAGCGAACCATTCTCTGTTACGTTTACAGAATTCGGCCGAGGGGCGCGTTTTCCCGACAACCGCGACCGTTCCACGTAAGCGACTGAACCTTCCTTCCTGCGAAAAACCAGGAGACGTTGCACACGCATCGATGCTTTCGATACATTGGCGCCACCTCGGTGCCGGATAAAGGAATTTCCAGCACCATAGCGAGTCGCTCCTACGCACCGGCTAGCAAACCTTTTCCCTCCCACTTTCCGACCGCTTTCTCGCCCGGCCACATCCCTCGGCTCGGCTCGGCTCGGCTCCGCTCCGCTTCACGCCACTCCACTCCGATCCATTCCACTCGACTCTGCCGCCTAACCCTTGCACCCTCTTCATCATCGTTTTCCTCTCCATCCCTATGCCTTTTGTTCGATCGAGTATCGAGTATCGAGTATCGAGTATCGACTATCGAGGATTCTCATTTACTCCACCAGCCCGCTGTACTCGTTCCATCTCTCTCGGACGACCGAGAGAAAATGTTTTCTCTTCCAACCTATCTTTCCGAGATTTTATCTTCGATCCATCAGTTTCCCGTGAAACAATGATTGTCTTACCGAGACGAACGAACGATCGGATTACACTTTCAATAGATGGCCGTATTCGAGGTCGATCGAACGAGTCGTATCCATGACAATGAATCGACAACGTTAGCAGAAAGAACGAAGAAAGAAAGGGTTGGATCGCGTTTCCCGAATAAACATAGGAGCGATTGAACGCGACGGGACGCTTCGAGGTGTGTCGCTACGATTTTGCTCGGAGGTTGTTCTCGTTTTTCCGTTATCCTAAAAAGCCCGGGGCGTCGTGGCTCAAACTGGGCCACCGTCGCTCAGTGTCCTTTTAGTGGCGCGTACCTCCCTTGCCGAACAAAAAACTAGCGAGAACTACAGTAGAAGGAATGAGAATGGGTGTAGAAATCGGCGCAAGCGCAAGCGCAGGCACGATAACGAGTCACCCAACGAACCGCCCGTCGACGAACTGACAAGTAGTATTAGTAGATAGACGTTTCGTCTCGTCTGGTCTCGTCTCGTCTCGTCTGGTCTCGTCTCGTCTCGTCTCGTCTGGTCTCGTCTCGTCTCGTCTCGTCTCGTCTCGTCTCGTCTCGTCTCGTCTCGTCTCGTCTCGTCTCGTCTCGTCTCGTCTCGTCTCGTCTCGTCTCGTCTCGTCTCGTCTCGTCTCGCCGTGAATTGGGGGCTGTTATGAGCCATCCGACACGCGAACCAAGCCCACCCTTTACCCGCGTCCTTCGAAATCGCAGTTTTAATGAAAAATCTCGACTATTCGTTCACGTGAATATCGGCTTTAAGAAAGAAGGTCAAAAGAGATGCCCATCCACCGTTTCCATTATAGTTATTTTTGACGCATGAACGCGTTCATCTTCTTCCCTTTGAAGACCGTGCACACTGACTACTGCCGATGTAACTATACACGAGTATAGGTATCCCCGTGGATGGAATCTCTCGACGCTCGACGCTCGACGCTCGACGCTGAACGAGAACCCTCGGTCGCGTAGCACTGACCATGCGATGTATCGTCGGATATTTTTATCCAAGATGATTATACCTCGCGTGCTCGAGTGCTCGCAACACGGGAGGCATAAAAAACGGGCGGGACACGCGTACGATGCGAAACAATTGGCTAGTTTGCGACTCGATCGAATCGAATCGAAGTACTCGCCGTTCGACAGACACACTCCCTCTCCTGCCGATTCGGTCGCTATCTCCCTCTCGCGCTCGCTCGTTTTCTCCTCTCTCATCGTTACTTCTTCTTCTTCGTCTTTCACCCCGACGACTATCTTCTGAACCGAAAATCGAAAATCGAAAACTTCTATTTCTACCGCTAACGCTACGTCTACAACTACGCTCGCATCTATATACGAATTACCAAATAAAATTCTACGCGCTTGCAGTTTTGATCGAAAGCTTTGCAAAAAATCAATGGGAAAAATGAGCTCGATCGGTCGCATCGATCGTCTGGAGCACGACGACTCGAAGGACGATCGTTCGATAGTTTTCGATACTGGGTATCTAAAGCGCAAGTTAATGGATAGGTCGACAAAGATTATCGTGGTTCGGGGAGACGTATCGCGCGAGACTCGTTTCTCTCGTGAATCGAAAAGCCCGTCGAGAACCAGCATGTCCGTGGCCTATTCGAACGCGACGATCGAAAGAAACGAGCCTCGGCGGTCGATCCGCTCGATCCGATCGATCCGCTCGATCCGATCGATCGGCTCGATGGGAAGCAATCGCAGGCGATAAACGAGTCGAGTTGTAACGAATGCAATGAAACTGTCTAAATGACGCAATTGATGGAACGCGATTCGTCGGCAGAAGCATAGAAACCAAGCCAAGCAATCAATTAGTGCGCGCTACGTGCCGGTGCTTGCGAGCACCCTCTTTACTCGTATCGCGTCGAATCGATTACGTGCTCGTGACCAACGACCGGGTTAATTTACTCACAGACTCTGCGACAAGAACCGCGACAGTGCCAACTTGCTGATTCGATTATTTTTCAGGCCATCCAACATTGCAGAGGCTGCGATTTCCATATTCGATCGTTCCTTGACAACCGAACAAGACGGAAACGTATCGTTTGCCGTACACTCGGCTTCGATCGAATCCGATGGATCGAGACGAATCCTGTAACGGTCAAAAGGTATTCCGGAGTCGTCGAATCGAACCGCGTCTTCCAATTTCACCAATTTCACCAATTTCACCAGTTTCACCAATTTCACCGATTCCAATTTTTCTGATCGATAATTCGAATCTGTCGAAATCTGTCGAAATCTGTCGAATGATTCGCCAATTATACGTATTCGAACCTTCTACCCTTCCTCTTTCTCACTACTTTCTCCTTATCAATTATTCCCAAATATTTTGCAAAGTTCCGCTCCTCTCCACTCCGCTCCGCTCCTCTCCTCTCCTCTCTTCTCCACTCCGCTCCGCTCCACTCCTCACCCCTCCTCTCGTCGATCGTCGAACAGCCTGTCCCGTTCTTTCCTTTCTTTCGTTTATGTTATTTCGATACGTGGTACCGCCGCTAACGCATTCGTCGGCAAACGGTATCGCATCATTTGTTCCTCCCTTGTACGCCGTGTAACCGGTAGCGTGCTTTCTCCGCGCGGATACTATCAAATATTTCCTAACCCTCGTAACTTTTTCGTTGTATTCGTATTCGTACTCGAATCGTTGATAACTTTCACGATCTCGCGCGTACAATCGGACGATTCACCCTTCTTTCGGTTCTCTTCTCGCTTCTCGCTTCTCTTTCTTCTTTCCCTGCTATTACGTGTCCTTCTTCTTCGCTTTCCGATTCTGACAGGGAACGGTTCCTTCGAATTAGTCGGATTAGTCGGATCAGTCGATGCAAAGATAGAGTGGTCGACGTTGTCACGATTCCCCTTTACTACTCGTTTTCAAGCAGATCGAATTTCGTTTCTT